GCGCCGGCGCGTGCGGCCTCCCCCTGGGTTGCCATCCGCACCTGTCGATCAGCGCCTGGTCGAGCTGCGAGACCCCAAACTGTGACAAAGAGAGAGGACGTTGCCGAAGCATTCGCGGCGGCGTTTGAGCGTCGCGGGCTGCACGGGCGGCCTGCACCCGCCGCCGCATCGGCTGCATGCCGCAACGAGCGCGGCGCCCGCAGCGTGCAGCCGCCGTGTGCGGCGCGGGCCCGCAGGCGCCTGGCAGCAGCCGGGGCCCCGGTGCGGCGCCCGCCTGCTAGGCGCCTCGCAGGCTGCGCGGCTGGCTGTGCAAAACGGACAAGCGCGGTTGGCTGTGCGCAAACAGCGCACCGCTGAGCGGAATGTGTCGTCGCCAAGCCTACGTGTCAACTCATTGACTCACGTCGGCCACGATCTTGTTGTAATCCACTTTGCCATCCGCGCCCGCTGCCACGTCCCAAGGCGTGACCACCTGCAGATGATCAGCAGTCACGCGGCCAGCCAGCGAGCTCGTTCGTCAGGAATCCTTCCCATCCAGCCCTGCTGCCATATCAGCAACAGCGGCGCCTCATCATCGCTGGTCGTGCGACTGGCCCCGGCGCAGCGGTACCTGCTCGCCGTCCTGCTGCTGCTGCTGTTGCTCCTGCTGCTGCTGCTCCGCCTGGCCTGGGTGCTGCTCGACCGCTGTTGTGGCTTCACCATCTCCCGCCGACATAGTGACGCCAAAATGTGCTGTGCAAAATTGGTGTCGCTCAGACTGTGAATTGCAGCTTGCTCGACAGATCTACAGGAGTACTGAAACTCGCCAAGCAGACGCAATGAACAAGAGTAGTCGAAACACGAGTTTTTTTATGTGGATGCACGTGTGTAAATCATTCGCCTACGGTATGATGGCGCCGCTCGTGACCATCGAGTGCTGGCCACCTGAGTGCTGGCCCTGGCTGTCCCTGCTGGCTCAGCATGCCCACTGTCACACGAGTGCGCCTGCGCCGACGCCAGCCCAAATTCTAGACCTCTGGCATCAGAGATGATGAAAACACAGGCGTGCAGAAATGGGAGTTACATGCCATCGATGCTCATGGTCAAGAGAGCGCGCGCACAATGGGTGCAGTGAGGATTCACAAGGTGTGCGAGCGCGCCGCGGCAATTTGAAGCCACTAGCAGGCGCGACGCCGGCAGCGGGAAGCCAGTGCTCGCGTTTGGGTATGAATCACAAAGGTGAGGCGGGCGATCATATGGGGTGAGGCCGCCGGGACACATGCCGGGCAGAGGCGGCGCAGGCAGCCGCGTGATGTGCACTCGCGCTGCCCCTGCCCTGCCGGCGTCACTTCAAGCGGCGCATCACAGAGGCGGGGCGAGGCAGCCAGGCGGCGCCAGGCGGACGCCTGGGCCACGCGGGCTGAAGGCAGGCTTGAATGCAGGAAGTAAATCAGGAGCCGTCTGGGGAGGGCTCTGGGGGTGGGGCACCCGGAACGCCCCGCGGGAGGCGGCGCGTTGCGCGCGAGGGGCGCGCGCCCGGGCGGCGCTCTCCTCTCATACGGCCCTCGGCGCGCTCCCTCCCGCTCCCCCTTCGCGCCGCACGCGGCAGCGGGCCGGTCGGTGCGGCGCCGGCCGCGCGTGGCGCCTTGCATCAGGGGCGCCCGGCGGGGGCATGGGGGTGGTGGAGCGCGCCGGCGGTCTCAGGCAACAGATGTGGATTCGGGGCCCATGAAGCGGCCGGCTTGACGCGTAATCAGCCAAAAAAAGAGACGCCAATCTGGGGCCTCGCAGCCCCAGCGCAGCGCGAAAAGGGCAGGCCGCATATCTGTGTTGAATGGGGGCGCCGGGCCCGCGCGACGCCACATGCCGCGCGGGGCGCGGGGCTGCGTCGGCAAGCCAGTTGCAACCCAGGCGCGCTGGCGGAAGCGCCTGAGGTGTGTGCGTGCGCGGTGCCCTGGGAGACTGCGATTTGCAGGCCCAAAGTCGTATGCATGCACCGGCGCCGCCTATTGAAAAGGGCCGGGCGTGGCCAGCCCTGACACTGGGGGGAGCTTTCCATGCCCCTGCCCCTCTTGGGGCCTGGCGCAACAGAAAGGCCGCAGGCGGCAGGCGAGCGAGACGCTGGCACACCCCGCCGCAGGAATGAGCAAACTGCTGCAAAGCATATTCCGCAGTGCTGCTTGGCAGGGGCCTACGCGCGCGCGTGCAAGCGGGCGCAGGAAGGCGCCGCCGCAGCGGTTGTGCGCTCTGGGCGCAGCATTTGGTGCGGGCGGGCAGTGGGTCCGGGGGCCACGGGCCCGACAGTCAGATCGACGAGGGCTCGCGAGCGGCGGTCAGCAGACGGGGCTGCAGACGGACGGCGCACCCGAAAAGATTCTCGGGCGCAGGCGCGGGCGCCAGCTACCACACCCGCGTCGCGCGTGCCTTGTGTCGCGCGCATTTTCTAACCTGCTAGCCGGCTGGGGGCGCTGCCCCCAGGCGCGCCGGCCGGCGCGCGGTGTTTTGCGAGCGGAGAGTTGAGTGTGCATACATTGGAACGGCCAAAAGCACCCTTCCCCCCGATGTTCACAGGAAGTCGTGCAGGCGGCGGACGGCGAGCCCCGTGCGGGGCGCGCCCGCCGCCCGCGGGTTCCCCAGCATGCCCGGCTGTGCGGTTCTATTCGTCGTAGATTGCGGTACGCTTGAGGTGCGGCTGCTGGCTGCGGGGTGCTGGCGCAAACTCGCAGGGAGGCAGACTCGCGCGCGGCGGGCCCCGGCGCGCGGGCAGTGCGCGAGGGCGTAGGCGGCGCGTCACGGTTGCAGCCGCGCGAGCCCGTTGGAACGCCAGCGGGCGCGCAGGCGGCACCGTGCTAACCGGGGGCAGTTTTACGCCCCAAGGGCGTAGCCAGCAACCCGCCGGTCAAAAGGCAGCGAAACAACCCGGTGCCTGGGACGCAAACGCATCCGCCGGCGCGCCTGGGGGGCACGGGCGGCACCGGCAGCATTGCAGAGGGCAAGAGAGCTTGGCAGTGAAGGCGTCGTCGTAAATGCGCCGAGGTGCGCGCGGACGCTGCGCGGGCCCGGCCTGAGGGTTGAATCAAATGTGATGCATCTGAGGGGGCATGGGTTAGGGGCGGGGCAGCAGAGCCCCCTTCCTTGGGGCGGCGGGCGGCGCCGGCGCGTGGGGTCGCCTGCTGCGGGCAGACACCTGCACAGGGGGTCGCCTGCTGCAGGCAGACGCCCGCACTGGGGCGGAACTCTCGCCAGTCTGGCTGCGAACGAGTGGGTGTTGCAGTGCATTGAGAGCCTCGCCAGCGCTGGAGCGACGGGGCTCGTTGACAGCGGGCGCACGCGCACTCACAGCCGGCGCGGCGCACCCGACTCGTCACCCGATCGGCCACAACGCAGCCGACAGCATCGCACCGCCGACGCGCACGCCGGCGCCACCGCCGCCGCTGCCGCCGGTCCCACGACTCGGCCGCGGGGCCGCGCCCGTGCCCGCACCGCGGCCCTGCTGAAGGCGCGGCGAGGAGTGGAAGCTGCCCGACGCTGAGGTGGCGGCCGTGTTGCCGTCGGACCCCGTGGCCGGGCCCGCCGCCGGCCGGCCAGCGGCGCCGGCGTGAGAGATGGGCGTGTCCTCTCCAGATGAACAGGCGACGCCAGAAGCCGTGCTGAGGTGGGCGGCCGGGGGCGACCCCAGCGCGCCGGAGAGGGACGAGGGCTGGCCCACGCTCCCGGCGGTGCCCAGGCCGCAGTCAGCGGGCGCGGCGGCGGCCAGAGGGGCGCGCGGGCACGAGTGCGGAGACGCCAGGGCGCGCGTGGCCGCAGCGGCGGCGGCGGCGGCTTGCACAGGGCCGGGGAGCGGCTGCTGCATGGCCTGCAGCTGCAGCTGCTGCAGCTGCTGTTGTTGCCGCTGCTGCTGCTGCTGCTGTTGCTGCAGCTGTTGCTGTTGCTGCTGCTGAAACTGTTGTAGCTGCAGCTGTTGCAGTTGTATAGGCAGCAGTTGCTGCTGCTGCTGCTGGTGCTGCTGCTGCTGCTGCTGCTGCTGCTGCCAGCTCAGGAGTGAACCCACTTGAGGCTGCGCTGCGAGCGGATGGCCCACGGGCTCCACGCACGCCATCTGCGGGATGGAGGGGCGCAGATACGGGACCACCACCTCCCGGGGGGAGGTGGCCCCAGGCACGGGCCCCTGCACAGCCATCTGATACGGCTGCAGCTGCGGCCGCAGCTGCTGCTGCTGCTGCTGCCACTGCGGCACCGCCTGCTGCCAGTACGGCTGCAGCAGCTGCTCGGGGACGGGGCCGCCGCCGTGGAACGCACGCGCCTGCAGACCCTCCTGTGGGACCGGCCGCAGCACGCGCGCTCCCAGCCATCCGCCGTCGGCGCCGCCGCCGCCAACCCCGAGCCCGAACTGCTGCTGCTGCGCACCCAGTAGCGCCGCCGCGCCGCCCAGCCCCGCGCCCGCGGGCCTGCCGAGCAGCCCGCCGTCCCCGCCGCTGCCCCCGCCCAGCCCCAGCTGCGGCGTGCCGCCCAAGACGAGCGCGGCCGCCGCGGCCGCCGGCGCGGCCAGCGCTGCCCCCGCGGCGGGCGGCGTGCCGGGC